TTTCTTTTCAACTTTTATCTTATATTATCTTTTATCTTATTATTATTATTATTTTTACTCATCTCAGACCCAGACTTTCAATCTTAAAACATGAAAATTGCCATAATCTCAAATAGTATTATTTTAGTACCATTTTATCTTTTTTTTTGTAGTTTTTGTTGCATTTGTGACATTTTTATTCATTTTCAAATATATCTATATAGTTTTTATTAATCTGTATTTATGAGTTTTATTTTATTTAGTTTTAGTTATTTTAATACTTCAAGTTTAGCTAAATAAAAATGAGAAATGTTGCCTTGGCAACAAGCTGAAATTATATATATATATATATATATATATATACATTTATTTTTTTAAGACAATTAATACTATTTTAAGACCATTAAGTATTTTGTGTTTTGCATTATGACATTACACAGTTCCCCATTACAAGACAGATAGATAGATAGATAGATAGATAGATAGATAGATAGATAGATAGATAGATAGATAGATAGATAGATAGATAGATAGATAGATAGATAGATAGATAGATAGATAGATAGATAGATAGATAGATAGATAGATAGATAGATAGATAGATAGATAGATAGATAGATAGATAGATAGATAGATAGATAGATAGATAGATAGATAGATACTAGATAGATGTACTTATTTTATGTTGATGTAAATGTCACGATGCAAAACACCCTAATGGTCTTATAAACAGGCTTCATATTCTTTATGCAAAAGCAATGTAATCAAACAAGATCCTGATGGAAGTGCTTCTCAATGTGATTTGCCACTGAAAGGTCAAAAAGAGAAGAAAACAAATATGAGACCTTGGACTAAGCAGGGTCTTCAGCAGGAGGTCAAAGGGCAAATCTCTGAGTTTTATATGGAAGGAGAGTTCAGTCACCAGGAACAGCTCCAACCAGCGCTCGCATGCTCTCTGGAGAACAGTCTCTTTAAGCTGAAAAGCACAGAAAGAAGTTTATAGAGGTTTACACACTGAATACAGAGCTCCCCCTATTGGTCATTTAAAGAACAATAGAACAAAACAATAAGAAGAAGAAGAAGAAGGAGGAGAAGAAGAAGAAGAAGAATTGTTACCTTGCAGGACACCCGATGAAAGCTGCACACAGTCAGTGATGAAATATTTGCCAACATCTCTTTAAGACACCTGTCAATCATATCCATCAGCTTTAAAAGGACAAAATATTGGATATACCATTCAACACTGTGAATTCATATATGTCTGGATTATTTCTGATATTCTGAAGTGGCATTCTAAAAAATAAACATATGAGCATTCGTGACTGTGTGTAAAATTTAATTCCCATTAAAGATTACAAATTGACGCACCCATGACCAAGGGAGAAATGCACTGTTATGCAATGCACGCTGTAGTTTAAACTCTGCTGGGTGGAACATGGGTTATCTTATTTAAAACATATCTTTCAAATAAATACAGTGACTGACTGCAGTGCCAAAATTCACATCCAGTTCCACCCAACATCCTGGATATGAATCAATCTGAGATTGGACAACACAAACTTCTCTAGAGACTTGGGTGTGGGCTTATGCACTACTGGATCAGTCTTTATTGCTTAATATGACACACTACACACACACAGGAATAGTGTGTTTTTTTACTTTCTTTTTTTGTAGGAGACATATTCTATGTGACCCTTTGTCAAACCTTTCCTAACCTATGATTTATTTTCATACCAAAATATATGTAGAAACTAAATATACTGTATGTTTTAAACAGCATGGCTTAAAATACATTTACATACAAATACACTTAAAAATAAAAAATGTAATTTATTCCTGTGATTGCAAAGCTGAATTTTTAGCAGCATTTACACCAGTCTTCAGTGTCACGTGATCCTTCAGAAATCATTCTAATATGCTGAATATTCTTTCAAAAATATATTTAAACAAAATCACAATTATTCCAAACGTTGGATTGGTATGTATGTATAAGTGACTGCAATAGCTTGTGTTTTGGACATCTTGTACTGAACCTGCTAGTGCAAAGACAGATTTGAAGTTGTCGATACTCACTTCTGGAAGAGGTTTGACATTCCCAGTAATGCAGCAGTAGAGAGCACAGCCTCTCCCCACTCACTGGGGCGTTCCTCTTGGTCGTACAGGGTCCGCAGGGCAAAAGACAAAGCTAGAACACAGCAGAGATTCTTACATAACTCTGTTTCTCCTTAAATGTCACTGTATGCCCCTTCATCAGTAAACATCAATAATAGCACACTTACTGTAGATAAGAAGCTCATGTGACAGCAAGTCAACAAGTGATGATGACACAGCTTGTTATTTACCGCTATAATATAATAAATATGACACCTTTTTAGCGCTTACCCTCTTTATTGATGGAGGCGTCTTTGACAGGCAGTCGGAGAATCAAAGCGCCGCTGAGATGCCACTTTCTGTAAACCAGTCCTCTTTCACACTGAGACCTATTAACTTTGCTGTTTTTATGTATGGCTGCAGTATCACAAACAAAACGGAAGGCCTGAATTTCTCTCTTGAACTGTTTCTTTTTTAATATGTCCATTCCACAAACTCTAAGATAAACATGTAAAATATTTATATCTGAAGCTGTATACATTATTTATTATGATGACTATAATGGGATCTTCACTTTTGCATTATTTATTACATAATAATGTTTATTAAATAGTGTAATAAAGTTATTATTCTGCATATTTTATGACTATTTTAATGAACTCCTTTATAAATAAAGAGTTCTGTCCCATGTACAAATTATATAATGACATTTGGATGGGTTCAACTACTTCTCAGGACTTTTTAAAAGGCTATTTTAGAGGTAATGTGTGCTATTCCTGCACCACTGGTGTCACCAAACAGAAAATCTCAACAAAAATAATGACTGTTTTCAAACAAGTTTCCAGAACAACACTCTCCCCTCTCCCACTGGTTAGTCAAATAGATCCTCATGTTATTAGTTGAGCCATTGTTGTTTTGTATCAAGCTTGGTGGGATGCTCAAACGATTTTCAGTTTGTACTGTTAAAAATAGATACTGATCCTACCTGAGAGTATTCATGCAGCATACTGTTGCTATGGTTACATCTTCAGGCAAACATCATTTTTTTAAATGTACACTATAGACTAATTTACTACGCTTTAAGTTCTTCAGAGACCTTTTAAGATCTACCAACCCCAGAAAACAAAACAATGCACAACAAACCAAACCACAAAAAAAAACAAAAAAAAAAAAACACAACACACAAAACAAAACAAAACACAAAACAAAACACAACACACAAAACACAACACACAAAACAAAACAACACAAAACAAAACAAAACAAAAAAGCATATACTCTAGATGGGCACCATACCAGCTCTCTCTTGTAGCTGAACATCCCTCTGTCTTTTGCTGTTGCTATACAGCTCAGATAATGTGTCTGAATAGCTCAAGACAGAGCAATGCAGCTCCCACCTGACCCCCAGACATTCCAGTACTGCATCTATGAACATAAACAAACAAAGACAGATATTTACTATATCATTATACACCATTTTATAGAAGCATGCAGTTGTTGTGTCATTGCTAAGTGGTTGCTAGGGTGTTCTTGGTGGTTGGTTAGTCAAGAACAGCCCAACTCCAAGTCTCCATGGCCCCTATTTCAGAAAAAAAAAGGTACAAAACTGGTCACTAGGACTGTGCCCTTTCAAAAGGTATTTATTTATTGTTTTAACTTATTTAACCCTAAAGAGTGCACATTATTATCTAGTGATAAGATCATTACAAATCACACTGTGCGACATGGATCTAATAAACTTAGGTACAATATGTATGCAGACTGTACGATGATGACACCTAGTGACTCGTAGTCTACGACGCAAGTTACTATTGAGGAACAAAGCGTCATTAGCACACACTAGTGGTAAACAAAAAGAGCATGATGGAGCAGTTTAGCAGTTGTACTTTTTTATGTTTGCTGATAAAAGAGGAAGCTGTTTGAGGTAAGCAGTTTTAAGTTTTAGCGTGATGTCGCGTTGATCAATGCCATTTTTTACTGCATTTGTATTGGCTGTACACGTAGTAAACGTGGGTCGTAGCAGCAAACACACTGTATCATGATCATGCTGAATTTCTGAAACTGTCAGAAAATGATCGTAGGCTATCTTTGGTTGCAACAGCCGTCTTAGGACCACCGTTTCGTTTAGGAACCAAAATCACAGAAATCGTCCCATTGCTAGGGTGTTGCTATGGCTTAATTTTGATTTTAATCTTAATTAAACTTTTGGCTTACTATCCAGGCTCTAGATATGACTCAGGTTCCTCATTCAAAGTATATTATCGTTGTATCATCATACAGGTGAAAATCACTTAGAAATACAATAATGCACCTCTTCTACACAAGTCACATAATTTGAGCCATCATCCATTCCTGTAGAACATGGTTGTTCAAAATAAATTTGTGCATTAGCAATAATAATTCCTGTTTTAGCAAATATCACCAATTAGATTGTCAATACCTGGTTTAGCATTTTGGGTCAATCTGCGAGACAAAATGTAAAATTGTTCCTCTTGAGTGTCAAGCTTTGAAGACCATGTGACATCTTTGCTGCATATAAAGGTAAAGAGATACATTATAGGTGCATCCACACACACACACACACACACACACACACACAATGTCCCCTTAATCCCCTCTAATCCCACAGTGCTTCAGTGCCAAGTGTTCTGCGGCCCCTCCTGATAGTCCTTTGTGTTCAAAGGCCCACCAAATTGAAAGTTGTCATTCTCTAATGTGCTATCCAACCTGCTCCATAATGATAGCATGTGGCCTGGCAGATATCTCATAGATCTATCCCTGGAGTGAGATAAACTGTCCCCCTCTCTCCTCGTCTGCCCGTCTCTCTCTCCCGCTAAACAGTTGTCATGAAAGTCCACTTGCCCCTGGCAACATACCAGAGTCTGGTACGTCGGCTGGCCGAGAGCGGGTGAATGAGACGTGGCAAAGGGGATTGTGGGCAGCTAGTGGCATCCTCGTGCCAGTGGAGTGTCATGGGGTCAGCTGCAACATAAACACACAGTGAGAGAAACTCCAAGAGTGTGCGTGCTCAAGAATAGGATGAAGTGTTCCAGATATTTGAGTTTTGAGTGAACATATGTCTGTGACAGATGGCTGTTTGCATTAATGAAAATGAGAGTAAATGATGAAAAATAAATGTAAATTAATAATATTCTGCTGTGGATTTATTTGCTATAGGATTTGAGATAATGTTTACCGTCTGTTATGAATCCTTTTGCACTTCTTATTAAAGGAATAGTTCACAAAAAAGAGAGAAAAAAACTGCTGAAAATGTACACACCTTCAAACCATCAAAGATGTGTTTGTTTCCTCATCAGAACAGATTTGGAGACATTTAGCATTATATCACTTGCTCACCAATGGATCCTCTGTGAATATGTGCCGTCACAATGAGAGTTTATATTACAACCATTGCTTCCTGCTAAAATACGAGTTCTCTGTACATAATATTTCTTTCTCCAATGAAAAAGTTACCTAGTCTGAATCAGGATGAAAATATTAAGCACCATTTACCAACGAAAACAGCCCAAAATGGTTCTAAACAAATGTGTTGGTGGATTTTGATGTAAGATGGACTTTTTCACTGAAGAAACCATTATTGTACAGTAGATTATGGATAGGTATTTTGACCAGAAGCAACAGACTAGTTAAAATGCCTTAATGATGGATTACAAACAAGCAGCTTTATCTTCACAAAATGTTAACTGATGGTTTGGGGTCATATGGATTGTTTATGGATTATTGTGATGTTTTTATCAGCTGTCTTGACTCTCATTCTGACGGCACCCATTCACTGCAGAGGATCCATTGGAGAGCAAGTGATGTAAATGCTAAATTTCTCCAAATCTGTTCCAATAAAGAAAAAAACTCATCTACATCTTGGATGGCCTGAGGCTGAGTAAATTGTCAACAAATGTAAATTTTTTAGTAAGCATTTTTTAACATCAACATAGCTTTTTTTTTTTTTTTTTAACATGCAATCTTTGCAATACTGTTTGCAACACTGCAACAATATTTGGGACATGACTGAATGCAGTTTAATACACAAATTTGCATAATTTCGCAACACTAATCATGAAATTAATATAAAAATCTAGTTAATGCAGTGAATCCCTTAAACTCTAATTATAACTAACTCAATGTATTGGACCAAAAAACAAAAACAAAAAACAACAACAACACTATAATCAATAAGCTTGTTAGGCAGCTGAAGAACAGAAGAAGAGTCATACAGGTTTGGAATGACATCACAGTCAGTAATGAAGTCATAATTTTCATTTTTTGGTGAACTATCCCTTATTAAAATATTTAATAGTTCTCTCCTCAAAAGACATGGGGGTTTGTACCTTTACTGCTTTAACAAAGTAATAGGACAGCAATTTGCTCCCTATTTCTGGAAAGTATCTATTAACATCTCTATATTCATCCCTATATCATCTCTGAAGTAAAAACAATCAACAAAGCTATAGCAATAACTCCAGTCATAAGAAGCATTCAATTCAAGCAGATGCCTCTCAGCATGTGCACCTCTATTTCATCACAGTATTCTGATTATTCCGAATTAAAAAGACCTGGCATAGGAATCAAAAGCCATACTGTCTTTCTTACTGTTTCTCTGGGTAAAGTGCCTTCAAGTGCATAACTGCCAATGCCTCTTAAACCCCTCCTGCGCCAAAACCCTACAGGTGCCTATCTCTAAAATGATGCCAGGTTTGTGACACCAGGTCGGCGGGTTGGCACAGACTGACACTCGTATCCCCTTGGTCAACCCAGGATTCTGGCAAAAGTCAATGCTGAAGATGCGCTGCGGCATTATGGGTAAAACTCATTAATGCAAGTTGGTTACTTCTTGATATAAGAAAGCCTTTGCCAAATCTAAACACCATTCTGAAAGACATGTGTTGTCATGATTTGTGGATAAATTGGATCTATCTTGCTCTGTGTACTGTAATGCAATGTAACCGATAAGCTGTACAAAAACACAAATACATAAACAAACAAATATAAAACACACACAAAGATGGATGGATGGATAGATAGAGATAGATAGATAGATTGTATAACTTTTGTTACATTGCATTTTTAGCATATAGTATACTGTAAACTATATTTCACCACAAAAAAAAAGAAAAAAGTAAATACTATTTCTTCAAAATTTCATGTTTAATTCAATGTGTTACTTGCTGTTTCTTTGTAGTGTAATTTGCTATCAGTTTCTGAGTGAAACATGTTTCTACACCATTTTTTTCATCGTTGTTGTGGGTTTTGTATTTAGGTTTTTTGGGTCGAGATTGTAAGATATTATTTTTATTGTGTTGTGATGTTTTTACATTGTATTTACAATAGTAATAGTAATAGTAAATTATAGTCATTTTAATGCTATTCTTCACATGTATTTTATGATTTTATTGTGATATAAGGTTTCATGTGGTAGGGATAGTTCAACCAATCAGTTGATAGTAGACATTGACTTCCATTGTATTTTTATTTATTTATTTACCATACTATGGAAGTCAATGGCTACCATCAAATGTTTGGTTACCAACATTCTTCAAAATATTGTCTTTTGTTTTCAACAGCTGAAAAAAATTCATACAGGTTTGGAACAACTTGAGGGTGAGTAAATAATGACAGAATTTTCATTTTTGTGTAAACTATCCCTACAGAGGTATTTATATAGTAGGACAGTGATGAGCTCTTTTTCATGTGTGCATGAGTCCAACACAATTTTCCTGGATTGCATTTTTAGGCTGATTGCACATCTCACCTGATTTAATTTTTCTGTCTCCTGATTTATCACCAAACTCCTCTGCCCTCCGAACCTGTGCCTGACCCAGCAGGTCACTGCCTAAAGCACCTGCCAGCTGCCAGCGGTTAGTGTGCCCAGCTTGTGTGCGCTGACATAGTGAGTGAGCCGACACCTGTTAGAAGCATAGAATAACAGTATGTGCTAAATATTCAAAAGGGAAATAACTATATTAGGTACAGAGTTGTGAAGGAGATTTGAACTTACACTTCTGGTAGAGTTTTGTTGTGAATTGTGGGAGGTTAAAAACATCAACCTGAAAAACAACAGTACTGAATGAGTAGCCTAATAAAGATTTACAAACACAATTCCGTAAACTCTTTTACTATATGAAATGAACTATAGCTATGAAGTGTATTGTAAGATATTTTTGTTACACTGAAAATAAAATAAAAAAATACAAATTGGTGAGTGGCTTTAAAACAGTTTTTAGTAAGACATTACAAGTAAATTTCACAGTTACAAAGAAATGACAATCAGCCTATTAATCTTGAAAAAGTAAATAAAGTTAGAAATAGCAAAAAAAAAAAAAAAAATCTCTGAGGACCTCAGAAAAAGAGTTGCTGTTGCTCATCAGGCTAGAAAAGGTTACAAAAACATCTCAAAATAGTTTTGACTCCACAAATCCACAGTCAGACAGATTGTGTACAAATTTTCAAGACCACTGTCACCCTCCCCAGGAGTGCTCCACCAACAAAGAACACTAAAAGCAAAACGTGTAATAGTCTGCAAGGTTGCAAAGGAAGCCAGGGTAACTTCTAAGCAACTAAAGACCTTTCTCACATTGGCTAATGTTAATGTTCATGAGTCCACCATCAGGAGAACACTGAACAACCACGGTGTGCATGGTGCATCCAAAAAGAACATTGCCGCCAGTCTGCAGTTTGCTAAAGATCATGCGGACAAGCCAGAGGGCTACTGGAGAAATGTTTTGTGGACAGATGAGACCAAAATAGAACTTTTTGGTTTAAATGAGAAGCGTTATGTTTGAAGAAAAGAACACACTGCATTCCAGCAGAAGAACCTTATCCCATCTGTGAAACACGGTGGTGCTGGTATCATGGTTTGGGCCTGTTTTGCTGCATCTGGACCAGGACAGCTTGCCATCATTGATGGAACAATGAATTATAATTATGTCAGGACATCTGTCAGTGAACTAATTCTCAAGAGAAAGTGGGTCATGCAGCAAGACAACGACCCCAAGCACACAAATTGTTCTACCAAAGAATGGTTAAAGGAGAACAAAGCGAATGTTTCGTAATGGTCAAGTCAAAGTCCGGACCTTAATCCAATTGAAATTTTGTGGAAGGAGCTGAAGCAAGTAGTTCATAGGAGGAAACCCACCAACATCACAGAGCTGAAGCGATTCTGTGTTGAGGAATGGTCTAAAACTCAAGATTCAAGATGTTGTGCAGGACTGATCAGCAGTTACAAGAAACATTACCTGCAGTTATTGTTGCAAAAGTGGATCAGACCAGATACTGAAAGCAAAGATTCACAAACTTTTGCCACTCACAGATATGTAACACTGGATCATTTTTCTCAATAAATAAATGGCAAAGAAAATATTTTTAGTCTCATTTGTTTGGGTTCTCTTTTTCTACTTTCAGGACTTTTGAGAAAGAAATTTTGATTATGTTTTGAGTCATATTTATGCAGAAATATAGAAAATTCTAAAGGGTTCACAAACTTTCAAGCGGCACTGTATATATATATATATATATATAGAAAGCAGTTATTTAATGCATAATACCATTTCACAATATTAGTGTTTTGATGCATTTTCAGCACATAAACGCACTCTTGGTGAAAATAGAGGAGACTTTATTAACAACATTTAAAAATCGTAATGTTTCCTAATGACAAGTACATGACACTTATGCATTAACTCACCTTGTGTGAGGTCTGAATGGCATATTCCTGCTGGATAAGTGACTCCACTGGACGTGCATTCTCTAACTTAATACTTTCACTGGCGCTGACTGACAGTTCACATCATGTTTTAAACACTTTTAAGACGTTAAAAGACTAAACACGTTTAATGAATATAGCGTTGTTTCTCACTACATCTTAAATAAACACTGAAAGCCACAAAATAAACCAGACAGTACTGTACAGGTGGATGAAAATTAAAAGAAACTTAGCGTTTATGGGCCATGTCTACTCCTTGTTGACAGGTCCTGTTGCTAGGAGACATGTGGGTCACTTGACCTGTCAGATTCATGACCAAAACAAACCGAAGAAATAAAATGCTAACGTTATATAAACAAAGAAAACATTCACTATTGGCCCAAAATGTAGACAATGCGAAACTGCCATTTTTTCTTAATATAATTGTATTACTAATTACTAAACATTTTTGTACTAAACAAAGATTCTAGTTGAATATAGCCCTCTTGCACGTGTATGTATATATTGTTGTCTGTTAAGCGTTATTTCAGTAAATTCCTTAACATAAAACCAACAACTGCCTACAATTCCCATAGTTGGAAATGCACCTTAAGCTGGTTTGCCAACCGCCATTAAACACAAAAGAAGAAGAAGAAGAATTCCCATAGTTCAGCAAGGAGTACGTGACGCCCATCGCGTTCAAGTTCAAGGCTCTTTCCAGGACTAACCACACGCCTCGAAAATCGTCTGACGTATGCACAGCGCGGCCCGTGATTGGTCAACATTTTTACGCCTGTGCCGCGACGCGATTGTCGTGACGCGAAAACGCGAGGGAGGGGGAACGCGAATGGAGGCCGTTGGTGTTTCAGAGCCGAAACAATCGAGGGAGAAATACATGAGGAGGAAAACTTAAATAGAAAGCTTGTGAATCTTTATATTCCGTTATATCGAAACTCATATCTCAGATACGCGTATAACTGTGTTGGTGGAGGTCGTGAAGCAGTGCTTGTCAGTATTTAGTGTTTGTTTATAGTGTTAGTGGAGCTCAGAGGCCCGGATTCATTCTCTTCATTAACCAGGCGAGTATTTAACCTCCTTTGGTCCTGCTGTGAGTTCAGTTCTTCTGTAGATTAAAAATCTACATTTTAACCAAATAGCGATTGAGTTTTAATGCTGGATATAGGAGTGCATTTCACCACATTGCCTGATTAAGTTAGCCTGCTAGCCTTTTCATGCTAATCTTCTTGCTAGTCCATTAGCCGTTAGCATGGTTATGTTGTTTTTATCAGCTAAGCTGGTTTTCAGACACTCTTTTGTTGGAATCCACGTAAAGAAGTTGTGTTAATGTCTTATTTGCTTAGCGAGGGGAGGAACGTTGCAAAGTGAAAGGTAAACAGAAGAGAACAGGTAACTTACAATTATTAGCATTAGCTTATAAGCATACTAGCTTTTAGCATTCTTAGTTTATTGCTGATTATTGAGGGACAGTCGCTGTGTTTGCAATGATATCGATTGGAATTGTTGCATACATTTTGTTTAACATTTTAGGGGTTGTTCAGCTGGCACTAGATAGTTTGCAAGCCAGTAAAGAGCTAACATTATGATGATGGTAATGCCATGGTATTGAATGATTGCTATATTAATGTTCAATGGCATTTTCCTTGGTACGTCAATGAATGCAACTCGAAAATTAATGGGTTTTTTTTAGATCTTGGAACTTGCACTGCCTGTTATTATTTTTTGTTGCTATATGAAGTTAAACTTAAACTTTAAAATTTTTTTGAGCACATAATTTCAGTTTAGTTTTTCTTATGTAGGGTACAAAGTAGGGCTGTGCAATATATCAGAATGATCGAAATATCGCAAATGTACATATCGCTACGGCTTGCAATATTTGGGGCCATGAACAAAAGACAAAGAGAAAATCACTCACTGCTCTTACCTAAATAACTTTTGTAGCTTAAATAAGAATCAGTGCATATTGAATTCATAGAGTAAATACTAAGCAGTGTTGTATTTTTCCTTTTTATTATTCAGTTCCTAAACTCATGTTAAAATGATTACACTAATGTTAAAATGACATTTTTATGTAATGCTCGAGTAAAACACTACCGTTCACTTTCAGAAGCTGTTGTAGGGGTGCTTTCTAATCACAAAAAGTGAAACATGTATGCTAGTTATATCAGAGTCAGAATGAGCTTTATTCACCACTTAAGTGTGCGCAAACACAAGGGAATTTGTTGTGGTTTTACAGGAGCTCTTGATGCATACATACATACAAATAACCATATATATATGACACAAGATAGTTATAGAAGTTCACAGAACTGACTCAGCAACAGCTGAGTAAAACTGTTTCATCTGAGCATGTGGCACTTTAAGCATTATCATATCGCATATCGAATATCGCATTATTTAATGAGATATCATATTTTTCTTCTATATCGCACAGCCCTAGTACAAAGTGACATTTAAACTTATTTATTCTGATACTTCTGATGGCTTTGTGTACAAAAAGTATTGAATGGATTTGTAGCATACATTTAGTTTAATATTTGTGGGGTTTGTCCAGCTGGGACTAGCTAGGTTGCAAATCAATGGCCAGCCTCAAATTGGTTTACTTTAGTGCTGTTATTGTAGTCAGGATCTTGGAACTTTCACAGTGCAAAATGAAAATTTGCTGAAAATTTTGCTCACACTTAGGCCATGCAAGATGTAGATTAGTTTGTTTCGTCATTGGAACAGATTTGGAAAAATGTAGCAATGGTTTGCTCATCAAATCATTTGCTCACCACTAGTGGATCCTCTGCAGTGAATGGGTGCCATCATCAGAATGAGGTTCCAAGCAGTTGATAAAATCACAATGTGAAAAAAAATAACAATAAGCTACAAATAATCCACATGACTCCAGTCCAGTAATTAGCATGCTATAAAGCAAAAAGCTGTTTGTTTGTAAGGAACAAATCCATTAATAAAGACAACATTGCTTCTGGCTAAAATGCAAGTCCTCCATCTATAATATTGCTTTCTTCAGTGAAAATATTGTTTTGGCTCAATCAGGAGAGAAATATTCAAAGATTAAGGCCTATTTACAAGTGAAAACAGTCCAAAACAGTTTTAAACAAATATGTTGATTGATTTCGATGTAAGAGGACAACAGGGGAAGGTTTTTGTTTTGTTTTGTTTTTTTGCTGGAGGTAACGTTATGGACTGGTATTTTGACCAGAAGCGACAGTTAAAAAAACTAAAAAACAAAAACTAAAAGGGATTTGCTTATTAAAACACACAGCTTTTAACTTCAAAAGACAAAAAATGTTCATGTGGAGTCACATGGATTTTGATGCATTTATTAGCAGTTTGAACGGTCATTCTGACGGCACCCATTCACTGCAGAGGATCCATTGGTGAGCAAGTAATCCAAAATTTCTCCAAATCTGTTCCAATGAAGATGAAATAAACTCATATAGCCTACTTGTTGAATGGCCTGATGGTGAGTAAACTGCCAACATGCATTCATTTTTTGGTGAAATATTCATTTAAATCTCTCAGTTTTTTGAGCACATTACAGCATTGATTTAAATTGATATGTGTATTGAAATCAAAATCATATTATGAAATAATTCTAGTTTCCTGCTTGTTATCAGCACAGAAATGCAAGTAGTTGTCAGGTTTGATTGAGTTTATGAGTGCATCTGTTTTATAATGAATAGCCCCGAGATCTTCACACATGTAGAATGCTGAATAATGTTGATTTTATTCATTATGAACAGATGAAACTTGAGGCAGACTGTTAATAGTCAACATTTGATTACAAAACAGCCAGTGAATTATTCATGTAACAGTTGATGAATGTTCACAGGGAATATGAGACAGATGCCACAATGACATCTAGATTTGGAAAAACATACAGCCGAAGAGGAGGCGATGGGACCTCGAAGTTTGACGAGGTGTTGTCCAATAAAAGAGCCACGCTCAGCACCAAATGGGGCGAGACGACTTACAAAGCCAAGGTGGGAGCAAAGAGGCCCGGTTTGAAGACAGAGGTGACAGATCAGACCAAGAGGACCAAGGTCTTGGATGGTGATGGATCAGAGGATCCGTTCGGATTCGACAGTGACGACGAATCCAGGCCGGTCACGTCTCGTAATGTAGCCCAGCCTAAATCCAAAATGACGTCGACAGGGGGATCCCAGGCCAGCCTAACGCTGGAGCCCAACAGCAGGGTGAACCAGCCCGCCAGCATAGAGGCCGTGGCCCCCAGCAGGGCCCCTTTCTTTCTCAGCACTGAGAGAAGTGCTCACAAAGTGCCAGAGGATCCTGGGAAATTTTTTAACACCTCTACTGCAGGTATGTTTTTCCCTGAAGGTTTCATTTTTTTCTCTCAGAAAATACATTGGGGTTGTGTTTTAACATTTAAACACTACCTGATTTGTTCTAGCGTCCCTGCATTAATCAGTTGTTATATGCTGTTAGAGTGTTTCAGGTGTTTGACCTGTTTAACTTCACGGGAAGTGAGTGTGAGCTTACCACATTGTGTAAACCTGCCCTAGATAGGTTTTTTGTGGTTGTTTACTTGCCTGAAACATTTAAACAAACAACTTTAACAAATGTATCACATCTAAATCTTTCTTAAGTTTGACTTTGCAGTTCATATTTAGCATAAAGTACACTATTGAAGTAAGGAAACATATACAGTATCATCACCAAAGTCCTCTTTAAATCCTTGATTGTCCTGTAGAGGGCTTGTCAGCTGTTTCTTACAGTTTCTTTTGCTCAGATTGAGAGGTGTCGTTTCAAACCCGTAAGACCTTCGTTCATCTTTGGAACACACATTATATGGCGTTATTTTACTGACAAATGTCGTAAGTGCATTATTGTAGCGCGAAAGCACATTAATACAATGCGCGAGCGCGAATCTCTCTGCTCGCGCGCGGATTTCCCTTGCTCTCGCACAAAACCGGACGCTCGCGCTCAGATACACGCTGCTCTCGCCCGGAGAGATTGTGCACACTTACAACGTGTCTCTCCTCTCACTCAAACTGTGTCCTGTGCACTCACAAATCTCTCTGTGCTCATGCACTATAGATATGAATTATCTTCGCACCTGAATTAAACGTTGTCAAAAGTTATCAACCAATCAAATTTCAAAGATGGATCTGTAATTTCTTTACAATTTAATACTACTTGGTCATAATATTAGAAATGAATCGGGTGTTTGGATGATTTGTAAATAACCTAGTTTAACAGTTTGGTCAAACCCTTCTGAATGATTTATCTAAACAAACAAAAAAGCATATGATTCTTAAAATTCATGTGG